GGCCTTGTTTCATCTTGTGCTGCTGATGATTGTCCAACGCTCCAATCTACCCAGATCCCTCTGCAAGGCCTCTTGCCCCTCAAGAGAGTCAACGGCACCTCCCAGTTTGGCAGCATCAGCAAGCCAGTGAATGGGGCATTCAACTCCTGCGGCCAGATCATGGAGTGAACTGCTGAACAGCGCTGGCCCTGGGACAGAGGGCCCTGAGGAACGCCGCTGGTGACCGGTCACCAGCCAGCTGTAGCCCCATTCCCTGCAGCCCTCTGAGCCCCACCATCCAGCTGGTTCTTCACCCAGCGCACCGGGAACCTGCTCATCTCACAGCTGGACAACACGTCCGGAAGGATGCTGTGAGGGACAGCGTCAAAAGCCTGACTAACATCCAGAAAAACTCCATCCACCGCCCTCCCTTCATCCACCGGGTGGGTGACCTCACCCTAGAAGGATGTCCGATTAGTTGAGCAGGACTCTCCCTGTGTGACCCCATGCTGACTGTGCCTGCTGACTGCACATGCCTTTCAGTAGCACCCAGTATGATCTTCTTGAGGCTCTGTAGGTTCCTGGGTCTTCCCTCATGTCCTTCTTGCCCACTGGAGTAACGCTGGCTAGCTCCCAGACAGCGGGGACCTCCCCATGCTCCCCGAGACCTTTGGTAGACGATGGAGAAGGGTCCTGCCATAACATCCGCCAGCTCCTTTGGGAGCTGAATCCCACCAGGCCCCAGGGACTTGGGAACATGCAGCTGGTCCAGCTGCTCCCTGACAATTTCAGTGGCCGCAGATGGAAAGTCGCTGCTCCAGCAGTGGTGGTCGTCTGACCCAGGGGGCTGGGCAGCCCATGGTCTGTGAAGACTGAGGGGGCATCCAGAGCAGCCATGGCTGCCCCCTCTCTGGCAGTGCTCAAGGCCAGGTTGGATGGGGCTGGGAGGAACCTGAGCTGGTGGAAGGTGTCCCTGCCCACGGCAGGGGGTTGGAACTGGGTGGTCTCTAAGGTCCCTTCCAACCCAAACCCTTCTGTGATTATTCTGTGATAAAAAAACCACCGAATGCCTCGCTTTTTCTTCATCCCTCCTCATCAGGTGACCAGCTTCAACCAATATCAGCCCAGTGTTTAACCTAGACCTCCTCTTGCTAATGATGTACTTAAAATGCCCTCCTCGTCCCACACCGCACTGGTCAGTGTCACCTCCCGCGGTCTTCTCCCCACCCGTGCGACCCATGGCTCCGTGACCCTCCTGCGATGCCGACGTCGCCCCCAGAGACGCTGCTGTAATAAGTAACATATTGTGCTTTGT